AAAGATGACTTTCCCTCACTGATCTGTGCTCTCAGCTTGGTAATAGACCTAGTTTCCAAACCTGTTCTGCCTATTCCTGTGGCCTTAGCACATTGTCTGATGTACGGTCATTTCCAATGTTGGCATATCTTCCTGGGTAATCCACTCACACCCTTCTGCAGGCGTGTCTCTGCGACTTCTGGTGCTTTGCTTTTCCTTATAAGTAATAAAATCAACTTGTTAAATTTCATGAAAGTAATTTCTACAGACTCAATTTATTTCAGTTAACTATAATTATTCTTTGCTCTTCTGATGCTCCAACTGTCACGGGTTGGCTGGTAGGAACCCCTTTAAGTCAGAGCTTTTGTACTTTCAAGCCTACAACACACATTTTAAAAGTATCTGCATTTTCTGACCACAAAAAAATTATTCCAGTTCTTGACATAATATATGGAGTCAACTATTTTTAATGGGGAACAGTGATAAAGACCAAAATGTGGACACTAGGGTATACACACTGGATTGTTCCATGTCGGTATTAGTGAAACAGAAAAACATTGCACATCCACTAGGAAGAGCTAGAAAAGGTAATTCATTCTAAAGTCATGAATTGGCGGCACACAGTGGCTTACGCCTGTAATCCCAGCACTTCGCAAGGCCAAAGCGAGAAGAATGCTTGAGCCCAGGAGTTTGGGACCAGCCTGGACAACATAGTGAGACCTTGTTTCTACAAAAACCAAAAAAATTAGCCAAGGGTGGTGGCTAGGTAGTTAACTAGGGAGGTTGAGGCAGAAGGATCTCCTGAGCCCAGGAAATCAAGGCTTCGGTAAGTCATGATCATAGCACTGCACTATAGCCTTTGCAACAGAGTGAGACCCTGTCTCAAAAAAAAAAAAAAGTCATAAATTCACATCGATAGCTCCAATAGTTCCAACATCACAAAAGTATTTAAAACTTATTGTCACATACACATTTTAATTTTATCTTCTCTACAGCTTAATTATCATAATTCTAATTAGAATTAGAATTATGTTTCTTAAATATGATGTTTCATCTATCATGATCACCTTTTGTTACATTTTACACACATCAAAATCCAAGTTTAGTTTTTGGCCTCTTCACATCCAGAATCTCTCTTTTTTTTTTTTGAATTGGAGTCTCACTCTGTCACCCAGACTAGAGTGCAGTGGCCGCTTCCGGCCACTGCAGCCTCGACCTGTTGGGCTCCGGCAATCCTTCCACCACAGCCTTCCAAGTAGCTGGAACTACAGGCGCGTGCTACTACACCCAGCTAATTTTTATTTTATTTTATTGTAGAGATGAGGTCTCACCAAGTTGCCCAGGCAGGTCTCGAACCCGCGGGCTCAGGCAATCCACCCACCTCAGCCTCCCAAAGTGCTGGGATTACAGGCTGAACCACCAAACCCGGCTCACATCCAGAATCTCAGTGACTCTCTTTGGTCATCATGGTGGCAGCTCGCTATGTTGTTCCTACTCTGGACCCTAACTGATTTAGGATATTTGGGGCTGACAGCATAATTCTACAGCACACCAGAGAACCCTGAGGATTCATCTACATTTTCCAACAGCTTGAATTTTTAGTTTCTCCTTAATTGAATTACATATTATAGGAAATGTCACCGCTTCTGGCAGTTTCTGACAGATGACTGGTTGGTATCTGAATGATGGTCCTTTCTGAAACATGAATCAGTTGGCCAGCTTCTCCTATTTGAAACTTTTAGGATGTGGTTGTGGACATTGTGGATGACTCCCAATATCCATGTCATCTCACGTGGGTATTGTAAGCCAATCCTAGGAATTCCATGCCCTTGACAGTGACTAGTACAGGTGTGGACAGGCCTAAGCTATGTGGTATATGAGATATGAAAGAAAGTAGCTCACAGGCCTCTTAGGAAAAGATCCCTTGATCCAAAGGGTGTGCCACACACAACACAATGCTGTCTTCTTTCTCCAGATGTTTTGCGTCTGAAGGTGATGGCAGAGAAGAGAGTTAAAAAGCCAGGTTCTTCATAATGTTGCCACTGACTACCTGCGTGGGAGGCTTGTCCTTCGAGTCTCACTGTTAGCTGTCAAACGACCTTACTGTTCAAGCGCTTTTAGTTGTGGTTTCTGTTACCTGAGGTCGAGGCCGTCCAAATATAGATCTATCTGAAGACATCTGGCAATTTCTCTAGCCTTTCATTATGCTGCCTATGACAAGTCATCTTCTATATACATAATAAAATTTCACTACTACACTGGAGTTCAGTTTTTCTAATGACACTTTAAGTGACAAATATGCTTCCAGATTTTAATTAAAATTCGCCCATGCATGATGCTGCCAATCCCTCAGAGGGGTTCAGAGGCGAAGACACCATTTCCTTAAGGCAGCCCGTGGACACCCCCATATCCCCCTCTCCTGCCTTGATAATGACTGTAAAATGCAACTCAATTTCAGAAATGCTAAAATGTGAGACAATGAGAATCCCAGGACCCAGGAAACTATTTTAATGTGGGGAGATGAAAGTTTCTTGTGTGTGTGTGAGTGTGTGTGTGTGTGTGGGGGGGGGGAACAGAGATGGGTGAAGAAGGGATCTTGGAGCTGAAGACAAGATTGTCCGATGTACGATTTGGAGACGACTGCTAAAAAATAATCCATCACGAGGATGCTGGTGCGTCCTCCAGGCCCCGCCCTCCGGTTCAGGCCCCGCCCGCCCTGTCCGCGGCCTGATTCCGCGGCGCCGCCCGGCTTGCGCCTCCGCCTCCAGCGCCCCGGCGGGCGGAATTGTGGGTGAGGAGAGGGATGGTTTGGGG